ATTATTATTATTATTATTATATCTAAACCACCTATTTTAAAGTTTATAGTTCCACTCATTTTTTGAGCTTTATATTTCATAATTAGATGTAAAAGTAGATTATTGGGCCATTTGTAAGTGTTTGCAACACCCGAGCCGCATATTTTGGAAATATTTAGAGGCATGTCTTACTTTGATTGTTTAAGGATCTTATACAAATTGCACCCTCTTTTTTAAGGGGTGTAGTTTGCGTAAGGCATCCACCTTAAATAATCAAAGTAATGGGTAATTCCCAACCCTATTGGAAGATGCAAGTTCAGTAATGAAAACTCTTATAATGACCTGAAAATTTGTTTCAGCATCTAATTATGAAATGGTAAAAGTTTATATAAGGATGCAATCTTATAATGTAGAACTACGGATGTACCTCAAAAATCCATCTGAAAAGGTAGTTTTAGTGTTGAAAAACCCTTTGATTGATCATCTCGACATTGAGATGTATGACCATGAAAAATAAAAAAGATTTTCTTTATAAAAAATAGTGTATTTTACAACATATTATCTACACCGTCCATTTTAAATATTTTCATATGTTTATAGATCTACTTGACTTTAACCATTTTTGAAATTTAAAATTTTATAATTAGATATAAAAATAGATTTGAGATAATCCTAAGAACATTTTACATCAAAATTATATGCCATGATAAAATTTGAAGGTACATTTTTCCTCTACAGCTACGGATGCATTCGTATGCCAACTGCACCCTTATAAAATTTAATGATCCAAAAATGATGTGGATCAAGTATATCTACAAATATTTGAAAATCTTGAAGATAGACAACCATATGTTATAAAATACAATATTTTTGAGACTTTTTTTTTTTTTTATATTCATACATCTTGAAGTCTGATTCATTAGAGGATTTTTCGATATCAAAATAACTTTTTCTAGTGAGTTTTTAATGTGCATATGAATTATTAAAACTTTGAATAGCGAGTTTCTAAGGTGGATATGAGTTATTAAAACTTTGTATAGGCCAGTGTTTTCAAATCCCGGCTGTAATCCCCTGACGGCCGGCACATCCCTTATCAAGGCTGGCGACAGCAAGTAAAACTAAATGAAAACAATGCAAAAAAAGATGAAAAAAATAAGGGCCAAGCCTGGCTCAAGCCCGACCCTCGGGCCACATTTTGTCGCACAACCGTACTTTTTTTAGGGCCGGATGAATAAGGCTGGGTCCAGGCCAAGCCGGGCCATTACCACCCCTTGATCGGAGAAAATATTCGATAATTTTTTTTGTTTAAAAAAAAGATAATTAGGAGTTCTTAAGGGATAACTAGAGTGTGACGCATACCATCTTGGAGCTAGTTCAGTCCTATGTCTAATTCCATTTAAATTGGTGATCAACTAAGAGCTTTAAAACAATCAAATAAAAGTTCACGCTCTAAACAATCAAATAAGAGCCCACCTTCAAATAGTGTCGAAAAATATGATTTCAACATTGGAAAGTTTTGTGATAGCCTTAAATTATATTTTCATCTTTAGTTATAAATTTTAAAGCTTCAAAAATAGTGTAGATTGAGTAAATCTATAAAAACTTGAAAATTTTGAAAATTGACAATTCAAAAATACGATACAAGATGTACTATTTCCAAAACTTGAAATCCATGTTTTTCTCATGCCCATTTATCTTGATATGGAGATGATCAATTTGATGATAATTGATCATCAAAATGACCTTTTCTAATAAAAGTTTTGAAGTACGCTCTTGTTTAGAGCCTAGGCTCTATATACTCAATCATACATAGCCAGGTTCAAAGTAGAACATTGGTATGGACTTTTTGCTCCAGGTTCAAAGTAAAAACATTAGTATGGACTTTTTGCTTTTTTAAATACTTCAAAGGAAATATTTAAAGATATTTCCAACATCCATTTATTCTTATAGGTCAAGCCAAATACCTTCTTTCAAATCACGCCTTCCACGACGAATGATGGACGTTCTTTTAAAACTATGCTATTTTCAATCCACATTATCAATCTGGATGGAAACAACCAAGACTGCACTAGTTCAGCTCCCCTTCTCGTATATATATATATATATATATTATTTTTTTTTTTTTTTTTTCTTTTTCCTTATTTGTCTAAGGCTTTTCTTAGGTCCCCTTAAATTTCTTTCTCATAAACTTCAATTTTTATTTTTACTTATTAGTTTGTTTTTTAATAATTTTGAAACCACCACCGATCGCGGTTTTAAAATTAAGAATGATTTCGAATTCTAGAGAGAGAATTTAGAGAGAGAGAGAGCCCTCCGTGCCTCAGTGGAATAATGAGGCAGCAATTCTACAGTTAAAAATAGATAATTTGGAGAGAGAACAGGAGAGGCTGATTTCGAGTGGGCGATAGAGAACTTATCTCTGCGCTGAAGTTAAGAGAGAGAGAGAGAGAGGTGATCTGCTTCTGTAGAGAGAGAGAGAGAGAGGATCAGTGCTCTGAATCTTAGAAACGCCCCTCACGTGGGTTTTTCCAGGACAATGTAAATAAAGGGAGCCCAACAAAAGCTCAAAGGGGATATTAATGGTGGGCTCCAGAGTCCAGACCTTTTACATCTTTTACATCTATTGGAATGTCTTAGAAACGCCATTGCCGTTACCCTTCTGATGAAGCCGCGACTTTCACAGGACATTCTGCAATTTTGGACTCTCTCTCTGTACTGTTTAATATGAAAGGTATGGTGATCGCAGTGACGCTGGTTTTATGGTGACGTTTCCTTAGAGAACCGCTGATTCCTGTTAAATTTTATGCTTGGGGTTTCTTGTTCTACTAGTTCTTGTGTGATGAGAGTGATTAGGTTTCGCAGGCTGCGATTTTTGGGGAGATGAGGTAGTGGGGACTGCTCTGTTTATTGAAGTCAGAGAAATGATGGATATGAGTGAGAAATTTATTGGGTTTGGTTTTTTTAGAAAAAGACTGTTTTTGTTGGGTTTTGATTCTGGAAGCGAAGGTCAAATACTTTGTTGAATTGTGATGAAAATAGTCACTTTTTCGTGTAATAACTCTTTTGGCTCTGGTGCTTAATCTCCATGAGCAACAATTTGGAGAGATCTGGAGGGTAGAGGAATTGAAGAAAAGATTACCAAAAAAAAAACCTTTGGGTTCGAGTTTGGGTTTTGGATTCTGCGTAGAGGGGGAAAGCCCTCAATTTGAACAGTCGGGATTATTTGGTCTTTCAATGGAGTGATAGATTAAAAGACAGTGCAAGTTTAAGAAATTCGGTGTGAGAGACAAAATTGATGCAAAAAGATTGGAACTTGAGGGGTGATTTTGGCAGGGAGAGATTGCAGACTGAAAGATTCAGGAGTTCTCCTTGGTTGCTTTCTAGAGACACAGAGAAGGCGATCAAAATTGGGGAACTGTTTGTCAGTGGGGTTTCTTCTGAGAGGGAGATTGAAGAAGATTTGTGGGGTGGTTATGATTGACTGAATGTTGATCTCAGGTCAAGTTTTAGGGATGAATTCTACCATGGACAACATGAGCCTGATAAGACAGGCACAAAGGCATCACTTGGTAGTGAGAGAAATGGGGGAAGAAATAGATCTTGAAATTGGACCTGGAGACGATGATCCCTCCTTTGCTCAGACCCCACTTGTTGGGGTCCCTCAAGAACCCACAGCTGAAGAGCAAGAAGAGCACAAACAATTGCTTATGGTTTCTTCCACCTCAAATGAAGACCAGGATCTCTCAAAGCTTCAACAAACAAAGAGGAAGAAGAAGGTGGTGAAGAAATGGAGAGAGGAATGGGCTGATACTTATAAATGGGCGTATGTTGATGTTCATGAAGGGACGACGAGGATCTTTTGCTCGGTTTGTCGAGAGTATGGGAGAAAGCATAGGAGGAATCCTTATGGAAATGAAGGAAGTCGGAATATGCAGATGAGTGCTCTCGAAGAGCACAACAATAGTCTTCTTCACAAAGAAGCCCTTCGGCTCCAACTGGCTTCCAAGGACAAGAATCTTTCCATGGTAGAGAGACCAATTTATGTAAAAGGTTAGCAACTTAAGTTCAACCATCGTTATGGGACAAATGTCATTGTTTTAGGTAAGTATACACTCCAATGGAGTATGAGTATGGTACTCCATGCTGCATCCGCCATCATTTCCATTGATGAATGGTTCGAGATTCGAAAGTCCCTTTACCTGGTGAATATCCTTGTGGGCCCATACATTGGTGGGAAGAAAGAGTGGATGTTGCCATGCAGGGCCTAGTATCATAATCCATTGGAATATAGTGTTATATCCCTTTTTGTACAGTGTCGAGAAATATTCCATGAAACTGTGTTTTGGACTTTCTAGCTTTACTTTCACTATTTACTGTTTATAAACAGATACAAAGTACAGTAGCTGCATCATATCCTGCCTATGTACTCATGGATATATCCTATACTTACAGTAGCTGCATCATATCATGCCTATTTACTCATGGATAAATATCCTATACTTACTGCTTTATGATGGATTGTGATGTGATGTTCAATTCTGATTTTTATATTGTTATCTTTACTCCTTGTTGAATGATCGTTTTATTTTCTTCAATTTGGCTAATTCTGTAGAATTTAGAGCACGTTGCCTGCAGTTGAGTGAATTTGGCCATGATGTGGCTTGTGTGTAAACCTTTTCATCTACCTATGAATTTCAACCATCTTATAGAACTAGAAATTATTGAGGTTCTGTAAACCTCCTATTCATGATTGGAAAGAACCACTTCTGTAATCTCCTTTTCATGATTGGAAAGAACCGCTTCTCAAACTCCTGTGGGAATTCTAGAGAGGTCCAACATATGCCTTTAGGTTAGGAAGATTGTCCAAGATTAGAAGAGAGTAATCATATTGCAATAAGTTCTTGATGAATCTTGTCATCCAAGGTGTGTTTCTTACAGAGATTCATTCCTTCAAATCTTGTTCACTGGTTTGAGTAAATCAAATTTAATTAAAAAAGGTGTGACTTACATGGATACATTAAAATGAGTCTATCTATATCAGACTCTACAAAATTGAATGAAATTGACTACAAACCACTTTACAGGTATGGTCGCACCTCACAATCAATCTTGCTCTGCGAGCCCTTCCCTTGCAAGGGAGTCTGCCTCTACATTAGACTCTCTCCATGTATCAACATAGTTCACTTGCAATTTCCTAGCACATGCCCAAATCTCTTCAAAAACAGTCTGAAGATTCCACGGGCAGAATTTCACTTCACTAGCCCATGCAACAACATTACTGGAGTCACCAACAATAATTCCACATGACCTTATGTTTTAACTTCTGAGCCTTAGCTCGAGACACGACTATGAAGAGGCCCAGAGTATGTCATAAGAAATCTCCCATGATGATCCCTTAATATACCCCTACCCGCAACCCCCACAGTTTTGGGTTTATGCACAGTTCGTTGTCATACCGTGAATGGAGATGTGGTTCGAAATAAAGGGAAATGTATCTTGTACTTCATTTGGAAAACCATTGATTTCCACCAGAGGGCATTAGACGTAATTCATAAGCTGTGGTTTTCTAGCACATATACTTCACATTATAATGAAAAGGGGATTATTTCCTTGATACAAGTGTTCAAAACCTCGGCAGAGTCTACTGGGCTCAGTTACTTGGTCTTGCCACCTTGTGAGGAGAGTAACGATCCACAAAATTGGGGGGTGGTGGGCTACCTGTACAGTACTTGGGCGGTCTTCTACAAACTCGCCAAAGTACCGTAGAAGTTGGGCAGACTTGTCCAAGTTCTACAGTACTTGGGGGAGTCACACTACTACTTGCCCGAGTATTGTTTAGTGGTAAGATTAAAAGGTGGGAGGGGGTGGATATTCATCCCCCAAAATCTTTTTTTATTTATTTCTTCTATTAGAGCCTTAGGGTTGCCCATTTGAGCCAAAATTTCATGCTTAGATAGTTATGTAGCAGTTATACAAAACAAAGAAACATCCAGACTATTGCTGGCCCTATCTAGAGTTGTTATGAATAATCTTAGTACGTACCAGTCTTTGAAATTTGGATTTAGTGGCTAACTCATCACTGTCACAACCAAGTTGACTTGCTGAATCGAACAGTAAACTTGGAATTTGTCAAGTTTTCGAGAATTGTGTAGAAAGTATAAAAATGAGTGGTCAGTTATGTAATTCAAGACAGGTTAGAAGAGACCATTTATTGGTCAAATCAACAAAAAAGATTATATAAAAGGAAAATGTGAAGCACGTTTGGAGTAGTTAGTTTATATATCTTACTCATTGGACGAGTCAAATAGAAGAGTTTTACTGATTCAGAAATGAGTATTTGTACACTGGTAGCAGGAATTCCTGTGGTGAGCCTTTAAAATTAGAATGGCCAGTGAGCAGTACACCGGGACATGAAAAGATGTATCCTTCTATACTTTTGGACTTGGTGCTGTCGTGCTTGTATATTTCATTTATCCGTTCAAGACGTGTCGTGCTCCTTACCCTCCTTGTATTGAAGATTAAAGTTACACTGAGAAACCAAAGATGCATATCATAGATTTTAGACTTCTTCTTTTTTTCCTGTTACACAAGTTGGTTCCTTGATTAAATTATCGTTGATATCTAATTGTCAAAAATGGTAAGTTCGCATCTTCATTTTATCTCCATGGAGATGCAGCATAATTTTTCTCTGACATGTAGCTTTCTTCGAATATGCACTTCATTCTGGTTTCTTTACTTAGAATGTGTATCCTTAGGAATGTAGGGAGGAAATATTCCTTGCTCTCTCTCTTCTCTCTCTCTCTCTCTCTTTTTCCTTTTGTGTGCACTATAACTAATTTAATTACTTTTATTTTGAATAGTTTCATTATATGCATGTCTGTCGACATTTCTCACTTAGTTCTGATATGATGAGTTTTCCCTTACATGTGCATGAAAACAAAAAATGTGAAGCTCTCATGTCTAAAACAGCGGGAACAATAGTTGACGCGGTATTGAGAAGGGACCCTCATGAAGTTGAGTTTATACAGGCTGTGCAAGAAGTGGTACATTCTCTGGAACCAGTCCTTGCCAAGAGTTCCCAGTAAGCCACCTTAAGCTCTTAATTATCTTGTGATAGTTCGAGTTTTATTTTGTGTGTTTTTTGATGTGTATTATAGTTAATTCTTCCATTGTTTTTGAGTAAAAAGTTAAGAGATACCAAATGTGTAGCTCATTGGATTATTGAACTATCTTGTAGGTTTGTCCACATTCTTGAGCGCCTGCTAGAACCAGAGAGAATTATCATTTTCAGAGTCCCATGGGTTGATGATAAGGGTGAAACACATGTAAATCGAGGCTTTCGTGTCCAGTTCAGCCAAGTGTTGGGTCCATGTAGGGGTGGACTACGTTGCCATCCAGCTATGAACCTAAGTATTGCCAAGTTATTAGGTCTGGAGCAGGTATGTCTTGATACTCTCTTAGTTTTCTTCATGATACACATCTGTTTTACAATGAAAGAGTGTGCGATTGTGTGTGTATATATGATTTTTCTAGTGTACACCATTCTAATGATCTTAGAAAACCTTCTTCCAAATTTCTGACAATAAAATATCCTCTGTTTGTATTTCTCTTATTTTTAAGATAAGGGTATTCGTCTATTTGAGGTGATTTTAGAACCTGTTTTATAGAGCTAGAGAGAATCATCGGCCAGAAATCTCTCTAAACTTCAAACTTCATTTCTCGAGTGGAGGAGAATTATCACTATTGCCCCTTGCCAAAACTTAGGAATAATATATCTTATTGGCATTTATGGTTAAAAATTTGGGAGTAGGATTTTCTAACATCACCATTAAAATGGTGTATGGTAGAAAAACCTACAGACAAACACAAACTCGATATAAGATGCAATAGCAGAAATTTGGGGTTCAGAACAAAAATTATGCTGGATTAATTTTGGAAATAATTGTTGAGTATATGATTAAAAAATATTGACAGTTTGATCTATATGTGTTTTCAGTCTGCCCTTCATTCGAGTGGTTTTTCATTCCTGAAAATGCTCGAGGCTTATGCTGTTTTCAATTGAATCATTTAGATGTTGTGCCGGTCATACTTGTGCTCTTTTCTCTATTATCGTTTGTTTGGCAAGCTGCTACAAGTTTTCCATGATCTTTGATACTGCTTTAGAAACATAGGTTTCTAATTTACTTGATAAAAGTTTTAGACAATTGAGAAGATGAGATAAGTGTTGCATTATAAACCTTTGATTCAAATATTGAATACTTTGCAGCTAAAATTGATTATTGTTCTTATACAGTTCAAACTATCTATGTGGTGTTACGGATCAAAATTTGGACATTTCTAGATAAATATAAGGTCTTCCTATTTTGTGGATAGGGACTGAAATGAAAAATTGTTTCACTGTTTTGCCCTCATTCAAAAATGGTGAATTCAATTCTATTTGACTGACCATTTGGTAAAATTGCAATGCTTGCTTAAGCAAGACGTAATTGAAAATGAATGTAATTAATGATGGTGTTAGAAAGACCTTTATGTTCATGTCCCGAAGTCCCGATTGACCTATGTTCTTCTAAAAGATCTTCTATGCTTACGACTGATCTCAGAGTTAGTTCTATACATATGACTAGCAACAAGAAAACCAAATGTAATAACTAATATATATATATATATGGGCTAATCTCAGAATTTTCCACATAGCTGAGGCTGTAAACAATCAAATTAGAGCCCACCTTCAAATAGTGTCAAGAAATATGGTTTCAATACTGGAAATTTTTGTAAAAGCCTTAAAATATATTTTCATATTTAATTATAAAATTTAAAGATTAAATAATAGTGTAGATTGAGCAAATCTATGAAAACTTGAAAATCTTGTAAATTGACGGTCAAAAAATGCGTTACAAGATGCACTATTTCCAAAATTTGAAATCCATTTGTTTCTCATGTCCATCCATCTTGATGTTGAGATGATGAATTTGATGATATTTGGGCATCAAAACAACCTCTTCTAGTGAAATTTTTGAGGTAGGTTCTAATTTAATTGTTTAGAGCCTAGGCTCTATATAAACTTTTCCCTATATATATATATATATATAGGCTTTGAAAGAAGCAAAGGCCTTAGGCTTAGGTGATCGATGAACATATAATTGTTTTGATCTCCGATGACAGTATCGTAGGGGATGGCTTGAAATGTCACTAGACATGTTTTCAAAATTTATTCTTGTTTTTAGGACCTATAGAATGGTGGGGGTGACATTGTCCTATAAAATGACTACCCCATCTCTATCAAGGTAATTGGCAAAGGGTCATTTGATTTAAATTCACGTCCGGTGAGATCCTTATTTTGTTTTTTAAATTTGTATTACACCCCCGAAATCTGGAGATATTTTGTGAAGTTTTGGATTTACGCCTCAGTAGGCATGTATTGTCTGAAATTTAAGGTTATCCTTTTCTGTGGGTCTACTGGTTTGATATACCAATGCCCAGGATAAGAGCATTGGGATGCGGTCTGTAGGGTCCTAAGATTTTTGAAAGGAACTATAGACCATGACCTTCATTTTGTGGGTGATCGACTGTATTAAAAGGTACAATGATGTTTTCAGGATTCTTATGAATCTATAATTTTTAGATGTATGTCCACTTGTGGTGGGGGTGTATTTTATGGATGAATATTTGTATCTCCAAATGATTGGAGAAATTTGCCTTGGAACCCATAGTGAGGAGGCTAAGTGGCTAAGGACTTCATGGTAGACGTACCACCTGTTCAAGGTCCATGCCTACAGTCTCATAATGTGTGACTGTGAAGCTTTTGTATACTAAGCGAATGGTTAGGGATTTCTTTTGATAAATCCAGTTATACTGGCTTGAGGCACATTTGGTTGAGACTTATGTTTGAGATGGAATCATGTTAATATTTTATATTTGTTTTACCCAGAACTTGGTGGAATATTAATAAAAGACCTTGCAAGTTACCAAGTCTGGAAGGTAGCTAGAGGGTTGGGATTGAGCCCAAATATATATTGCCACAAGGCGATGGGAACCCTATCTAGGATAAGGAGATCCCAAGTCCAAAGTTCAAAGGGAAAAACAAGTTGCTCTTGTGATGTCTGATGAATGTGGGCACCACAAAATGCTTTATTGTGGAAATTTCTAAAATTTTTACCCCATCCCTGGCTGTGTAGTACTACTTATTGCAATGAATAAAGAGGTTGAGCTTCGCTTTTAATGATTGCATTTGCCTAGATGATGTAAGGCCTAGGTTGGGGTGTCGCACTATAGGACATCTTCCATGGATTCACCTATATGAGTGTGGAAGTGGCAGCCTCTTCCTATGGGAATTGGGCATTCCCTAGAGCACTCATGAAAACCAGGATTAGCGCAGGGCCTTTAAAAGCGCAAGCCTTTTAGAAAACCATAGTTTTTTGAAAGAGAATGTGCGGTATGTGGGAGGCTTATCAATAAAGGACATAGTTCAAGGAGTGTCCACTCACTTTCGTGGTAAACGTTCTTGATAACACTACGTGAAGGTTCAAGTCCAAAAGACACCTTCACTTATGCATTTGTCTTTCCTTATATGTTTGGAGGGAGCTCTTGTTATTTTGAAATAGGTGGGGGATTGTTAGCTTTTTGCAAAGAAAAGTGTTTCAAAATAACTTTTATTTTAAATTTTTATTGCTAGTCCATTTCTATAGATGGACCTTTGGTACACCATCTTTTACTTCATCTTCTTACATGAGGTGTTTTTACCACCTTCGTGGCAGCTTAGCACCCCACCTTTATTGTTTTTAAGATACCTTTCAATGTGGTATTCAATTTTTGAAACTTTCTCTCTCTCTCTCTCTCTCTCACACACACACACTCCTCCTATTTTAATCTCTCTTGTTAAAACGATAAAAAAGCTCACACTCTCTCTCTCATTAATAACATGAGAGTAAGTTTACTCTCTTTCTTTGAGTTAGCAGGCTCTCTTACTAAAAAATGGATGGTTTTCTCTCAATAAACTGGATGACTATCTTGCGACATCATGAAGTGAATGATGGATTTATATATGGTTTTCTTGCTCTTTGGTGCGTGGCTTTGTTGTCATCCGGTAAGTTTTTCAACTTAATATTTTATAAAGTATTTTTCCATGTGTTCTGTACCCAATCGATATTTGTATTCTATCGATTGGAAAACTAATCCATAGTGAGAGAGAAGATGTTTCCCAATCAATGTTTAATTGTAGTATACCGATTGGATGATATATTTTGTAGTGAGAGAGAGAAGTTTGCCATCCTAATTGATGTTTTTATTGTACCTATTGGATGATGATTTTATAAAGAGAGACAAGTTTGTTTCCAATTGATGTTTGTAGAACCATACCAATTGGAAAGACATATCAGTATTTTTGTGACTGTGGTTTTGTGCTGGTCGAATGCGTGTGCAACTCAAGGACTCAGGATTTGTATTCCGATCTGGCTGTATCTTGGGAATGTACTCGTCGGGACCTGTTTGCACCTCATATTTTATCGAGACGGAGGCATTTAACACTTCGAAGAGTGAGCTCCTTTTGTGCCTCTAGATCCCCTGTTTTCAATCATCGTAAAATGGGAGTTTATTTCCACCATTATAAATTTTTAACTGCGGTGATATATATATATATGGGAAAAGATGGGATTAGCCCACTAGCTCATATGAACATATGAGCTCAACGGTCCAGGTTGAATCTGGGCCGATATGACGATCACGAATGTCTGATAGTGCTTGAATTTTATTTTTCTTTCTTTGCATCCAAATCATTTGAAATTTTAGGTGTGTGTTCTTCTCATCAAGGCACACCTAATAAAAATATAAAAAAAATTATCTACAAAAATAAAAATGACCAAAATACCCCTTGAAACTTTCGGGGGCATTTTGGTCAATTTATTTCAAGTAACATATTTTTTTTGATATTTTTCGAAGATTCACCTATTTTTGATGAATACATGCCTAAAATTTCAAGTGATTTAGATTTGTAGAAAAAAAACTAAA